GCCACATGCTTTATCTGCTTGACGATGTTCTCATTGCATAAAAAAATATGGTTACAGGTTGTAATATCTGCCTTTGATTCTGACGCATCACTTGAAGTCTTGGATCATCCAATTTTGGATCTCATATACTACACGGTATATTTTATTTATCTTTTTTTGAACATATCTACATCTATGATCTGAACACAACATATTTATTTCTTACTTATATTGGAATATTAGGTAGTTGAGATACTACCTTCCGCACTTGTCCTCTATATTCTGCGAAAGCTTCCTCAAACAAGAGCATCTGGTCAATACCACCAAATCCAGTGAGCTTAAATTATTGCCATCTTCTGCGATTCATTGGCCTAGGATTGAGCTGAATTTTGGATCAGAGTATCATCCGAATCCCCAATGTACTGTCTGCGCTGCCAGACAAGTAGTATCTCCTCGTACTCGCCCCATCTGTGTGCATGCATCTTGTTTGCAGTTTTTTGTGCCATATTGGTTAGAACTAGTTCAGGTGACTACCTTGGGCATGGTGTTACTTCATTTATTTGTACTAAATTACTAATAGATCTTAAAAAGGTCCCAAATTGTATAAAGTTCCATTATTCAATTTTGATACAGAAATTCTAGTCTTGTACTGCGTGTTTTTCCGTCGAAATCACCGCCTTATATTTCAGCTACCTCAAATGCCAAACTCCTACTTCTCTTTATTTTTGCCATTCAATCACATGATTCTTCAACTATGAAGAACTTGGTTCTGATTTCGGCGTCTTCCATTGAGTTGCATCTTCGGTGTTTCTATACCATCTAAATTCTAAAATAATGAGTGCTAAAGAAATCTTGCTAAGATTGTTCTCACATGAGAATAGAATTTAAGGCTTCTAAGACGAGCATTGACATGAAAAATATCTTACAAATTACATAAAAATCCATCAGTAACATTATAATTTTGGCAATTTAGCTGGATTATCAGGCCATGATTATCATTAATACTCGGATTGTGTACTTGTATTAGATTAACATGTCTATAAACCTATAACTTTATGCTTCTAACTCTTAAAATTATCAGGAGAGTTAGAAAAGTGTATCTTTGATCACGAGAGTTTAGCTGTAATTTAAAACATTAGAAAGAATTATGCTTTGCTTGTTGTATCATTGGACTTAACAACTATGGCTATTGGGCAGTCCAGGCACAGTTGTAGTGTGGACTAACAATGAGTCGTAACCAGCCCACTTAATCCACACCCAAGCAGTTGTTGAAGGCTGATCTCGAGACCAAGAACATATTCATGATTCCTCGTTCAAAAATGAACATTTATTATAACAAAAATTAATATTTTCTGATAGAACATATTTTACAATAATTTTGTATTTCTCAATAATTAAATGTTCATTTTCATACAATATAATGTTTCGTATAAAATAAACATTGACTTTGTTAGGAGAAGGATCGGCCAAAAAAGCTTCAGTGACATCAAAAGAGGGTCTAATATAGGTGCCGGATCCACATGACCCCACCACGTCGATGATGACGACCACCGAGCTCCACCCATCAATGGCGGAGTTCTAAGGTGACTGCTCGTGATATGGCGAAAGATGTGGCTCTAGTGCTGCCGCCATTTTAGGATGAATTTGAAGGTTTGGAGAGAGAAAATGGTGGTAGATTTGGAGGAAGATGAAGACAAAATTTTGGTGGGTTTTTTTTCAAATTTAATTTAATGGATTATATGGGTGTTGTTGGGCTTATTGTGTTGGAAAAGTGGGCATATTTTTTAGGTGTAACCTCCTGCACCTAATGTAGGTGCAACAGTATGAAACGCAGGAATTTATGGATGAAACGCAGCCCAAACTCAAATCATACAAAATGTTTTTCCCGCATTAGTTTGTTTCTTATTTAAAATTTTTAGTTTCCTTCTTCCCAATTCTATCTTTTCTCTTTTCTTTCCTAATTCTCACCAAAATTTTCGATCATAAATTCCATTATATTTTCTTTAACTCTGTATTTTCTCCTTCTTTTTTTTATTTCAATTGATTCATCAAATCCAACCACGAATGTTGTTGAAGATTAATCTTGATTAAAAATTTGCAATATTGATGATATAATTACAATGAATCCCTTCGTCATTTTGTGAAATGATTTTGAGTTTCAGAGAACTAATGGAGAAGAAGGTGGGTTTTATTTTATTTTCTCTCTTCTCCTTTTTTTTCTTTTTTTTTTATATATATTTTTTGTTTTTATTCTTAATCATAGATCAGTAATTATTTTATCTATGATGAGTCAGGATTAGATTTAAGATATATAATCAATTTTTTGAGTTGGAATAACTATAATCGAATATTTGTATAATTTATGTTAGAAAAATGAACATGTAATAATTTAAAATGAACATTTAATACAAAATGAACATTAGTACATGAAAAATGAACATTTTACTACAAAAAAATGAACAATTTTATTATAAACAATGAATTTGAACTATTTGAATATGAAAATCATGTTCATCTTTAATAAACTAATTTTTTATAACTTTGTTTATCATGTTCATTTTTGTATGTGTTCATTTTAGTGTTTTTTAAGGTTTTATTCCATTGCAATTGTATTTTGTTAAATTTATATCAGTTTGATCTATGTATGAATTTCGATTTATTATGTGGTGATTTTGTAATGAATTTTTATCAATTCGATTAGGTTTGTGAACATGTAATTCATTTGAATTGAATTTACGGCCTTTAATTATGAACATAAGAAAATTGAAGAAATAAAAAATAAAATAATTATGAAAGATACACATTATAAGTATTAAAAAAAAAAATATGAAAATGCATTAAAAATATGAATATACACATATTAGAAAATGAATATACGTATTCAAAATATGAACATATGCATTATTGGTTCATTTTTTGAATGCGCATGAACATAAGCATTTCAGAAGGTGAACATATACATAAAAAATATGAATATATGGATTTCAGATTGTTTACATAAGCATTATGAACATATGCATTCAAAATATGAACATATACATTGGTTCATTTTTGAATGCGTATGAACATAATTAAGCATTTGAGAAGGTGAGCAGATACATAAAAAATATGAACATATGGATTTAAAAAGTGAATATATGCACTTCAGAAAGTTTATAAATGGATTCAAATTATGAATATATGAACTTTAAAATGTGAACATAAGTATCCGTTTGATTTCACTATTTTTTTTTTTGACAATTCCAATAAAAAATTTCGAAGAATAGAGATTCGAACAATTTCAAACAAAATTCAGTGATAATCATATAATTCAAACAAACTTAAGTGAAATTTACATAAAATTGCCTTTTTTTTAGGGAAGATCCTTTTGATTTTGCATCTCTTCTTTAATGTCCATTGATGTTTTTGAGTTTTTTAATGAGAGAAAATGAAATAGAGAAGAGAGAAAGTGAAAAAGAGGAGAGAGAAAATCATATAGAAGAAGAGTTTTGAGTTTGAAAGTGACGTTACTTGTATTGGGTGTGGGTGTAGATGTGGGTGTGGGTGTGTGTATTGGGTATGAGTGAGTATATTGTAATTACCATGTTTTTTTTTTAATTTTAAGGCCTTTTTTAATTGGGTTGTGTGTAATTGGGCTTCTAGGCTGCTGTTACACCTATCTAAGGTGCACAAGGGTGCACCTTAGACCAATTGGGAAAAGTGGGAATATTTTAAGATATTGAGTGTCAGAGCTTACTAGACTAAGTCAGTATAATTATGAAAATATATTGTCAATATTGTGACCATTAACATTATAAGAATGAACATCGGTATGAAAATAAACATTTAATTTTGTAAGAATAAATATCTTATAGTAAGAATATGTTCATTTTTTTATATTAAATCTTTATTTTCAAAATGAGGGACCTGAGAAAATTGGTTGGGCTCGAGACCAGCTAAAATTTTGGCACACCTATGGGCTAGACTACAAATGGTGAATTGGACTTGAGAATATCGCAAAGTTGACACTTAACTTGATAAAATAAAAAAGTAATACCTCTACTTAACAATAGATACAGTCCATATAGGCATACAATGTTTTGAATTTCTTTTTAACACAGTACTTTGACCTTTATTTTTTTTTATACATTAATAAATTAAAGCAAAATTTTACAATTTTATTTTGAAAATAAACATTGAGATAAATCCAACAATAGTATACATATAAATATTTAATTTTTATACATGTGTAAAAAAGTGGTGTTAAAGTGCACATAGTCAAAATGTTGCATCTTTGTGAAACAGATGTATTATATGATTTTAAGAGACGGTGTTAATTGAAGGGTGGTCTACTCCATAATTTTTGAGTGATGGAGGAGTGTACTTCAAGATGATATACGAAATTAAGTACTTTGGAGATATTTAAAATTGATAAACAATATTGGATAAATTAGGGATATGATGTTAGTGGGGCAAGTCAAATAGGAGACCTGCCCATCTAATGGGACGAGGATAAGTCCCGATCTAATTTGGCAGGTGGTGGAGCGAGGATAGGAATAAAAACCATATCTTTCATGGGTGATGGGGTAGGGTGAATTTTAGTTAGGTTGTAAACGACCCGCACATCCCTGTCTCACTCCACTCGCCCCACTTCGTACCCGTCCCATACCTGCATATATATATATATATATATATATATATATATATATATATATATATATATATATATATATATATATATATTAGTCGTATTATAAAGAAAAAAAATTGTGGAATATTAACTTATTATGTGATTTTTTAATTGTTATTTATATAATGTAGTTTTGCTGTATTTTGGAGACGATAATTTCGTGGGTACGAATATTCAAGTGGGAGTGGGATGGGGATGAGAAGGTCAACATCTGCTTCACTCTGCCCCATTGACATCCCCTTATTGGATTAATAAATACAAGATAAACAAACAATATAATAAAGCATTGATAAGTTTTAGTTAAACAGAAAATTAAATTAGAATTTGGAAATTTGTTTTTATTGCTCAAACAACAACAAAAAGGCAAGTATTAAAATGCCCTTATCTCAACCATTAGTTAACACTCAATCACTTCGGTGTAAATCTGAAAGATTTGGCGGCGTGCCAGGATAAGGTCCAGAGTGAGATGGTTTTACACTGGTAGTTACAGTAAAATCTGAAAGACTTGGTGGCATGCCAGGAGATGGTCCAGAGTGAGATGGCTTTACATTGGTAGTTACTGTAAAATTTGAAAGACTCGGTGGTGTGCCGGGAGATGGTCCGGAGTGAGATGGCTTTACATCGGTAGTTGCTGTAAAATCTGAAAGACTCGGTGGTGTGCCGGGAGATGGTCCGGAGTGAGATGGCTTTACATCGGTAGTTGCTGTAAAATCTGAAAGACTCGGTGGTGTGCCGGGAGATGGTCCGGAGTGAGATGGCTTTACATCGGCAGTTGCTGTAAAATCTGAAAGACTCGGTGGTGTGCCGGGAGATGGTCCGGAGTGAGATGGCTTTACATCGGCAGTTGCTGTAAAATCTGAAAGACTCGGAGGTGTGCCGGGAGATGGTCCGGAGTGAGATGGCTTTACATCGGCAGTTGCTGTAAAATCTGAAAGACTCGGAGGTGTGCCGGGAGATGGTCCGGAGTGAGATGGCTTTACATCGGTAGTTGCTGTAAAATCTGAAAGACTCGGAGGTGTGCCGGGAGATGGTCCGGAGTGAGATGGCTTTACATCGGTAGTTGCTGTAAAATCTGAAAGACTCGGTGGTGTGCCGGGAGATGGTCCGGAGTGAGATGGCTTTACATCGGCAGTTGCTGTAAAATCTGAAAGACTCGGTGGTGTGCCGGGAGATGGTCCGGAGTGAGATGGCTTTACATCGGTAGTTGCTGTAAAATCTGAAAGACTCGGTGGTGTTCCCGGAGATGGTCCAGAGTGAGATGGCTTGACATCAATAGTTGATGTAAAATCTGAAAGACTCGGTGGTGTGCCAGGAGATGGTCCAGAGTGAGATGGCTTTACATCGCTTGGTGTAAAATCAGAAAGACTCGGTGGTGTGCTAGGAGATGGTCTAGAGTGAGATGGCTTTACATTAAACTCACGAGCCGATGTTGTTCCTTTATTTATAAAAAAATAAAATAATAAAAGAGGTCATATATAGATTTTTGATTAGCAGTTAATTAAGAATTAACGAGTCTTAGCTTGTTAATAACATTATTACATACGTAGTATATAAGAAGTGGTATACATGTCACGTCATGTCATATTAATATACCATTAGAAAATATTCAGAATTGAAAATTAATCGAATTATATATTTACCAGAGGAAGCAGCAAGGAGTAAGAGCATTAGAAGGGGGAGAAAAGCCATCTTATTCACCACTTTAGAGCACTGTAAATGTATGAAGTTATGAACTAACACTTTTGATTAAAAGCTAGTTTGTGGTGGATTGTTTCTTACTGTATATGTGACAATGCTTAATCAATGACCTCTTTTTATAGTGGAGAATTAACAACTAATTAATTGTGAAGATCATGTTTGATATCATATCTTAGGATTGTTTCCTAAATTAATATAGCATTTATGTTTGATATCTTATCTTAGGATTGTTTCCTAAATTAATATAGCACTTATGTTTGATATCTTATCTTAGGATTGTTTCCTAAATTAATATAGCATTTATTAGGATAGGATTTGTTAGGATAGGATTTTATCTAAGGTGTATTTTGAGATTTGATCTTAAGCTTTAGGCCCTTCTTAATATGTTACATGGCCAATGTTTTGGGACCATTAATTAAGTATTGTACATTGGGCTAAATTTGAGTGGGTTGTCCATGTAAGGGAGAGTGTGAAAATACGCTCAAGCCCTATAAAAACATCAAATGTGTTGTGTGACAGAGTTAATGTAACCCTACGTTTGAGGAAAGTGTTAAAATACAACATCTTCAAACAATACTTGTAAATATCACATAGTGACAAAAGTTGTCTTATACACTTTATAATGATAAGAAGCCACTCCTCTATTTTATATGTTTTCAAGATTAAACTTCCTTAAACTTGTGAAGTTGAGTCTCAAGTGCAGTCCATCCCGTATTTGACAATAATGTTCAAATTCAAATTAATAATACTATGACAAGCACTTATTTGTTAATTTCTTATTTCCTTACAAATTAAATAAAAACCCTTCAATAATAATATCACAATTTATTACCTCCTATCAAATGAGATATCAATAATTTAACTTTTTGGCTTGAATTACTGATGATTATTAATACATGGGTCATATTAGGTGAACTTATGTAACAATTGTTAGATCGGAGCAGCGAACACTTTGTTTGGGTAAATGACAGGAGGAAGAAAGGATAGGAGAGGGAGAGATTCATTTTCCATCTTTCTTTAATAAGCCTAATCCCCCAAAATTGAAGAGATTTAAATGGAGCTAGCTAACCCCCTCTTTAGAATTTATTATATACACCTGGGTGTACCGTACATCACTAACCTAAGGTTAGTTTTTGCTCTTTATTTGATAATAAAATGAAAAACAACCATCAAATGAGAACAAATACTCATGAGTGCACCGTAGAATTGTCAATTCGGGTAAATGGATCGGGTTTGTATCGGGTAAGAGTGGGTCGGGTCAACTCTGGTCAGATCAATTCGGGTTAATGTCGTAACATATGCGGGTCGGGTTCGGGTTGGGTCATGCTTGAGTCGGGTCACGTCGGGTCATACATCCTATCGGGTTTAGGTCGGGTTAATAATAGGTTGGCTTACATTCGGGTTGGGTGATGAATAATAGGTCGGGTTTAATTCGGGTTTTCACGGGTTAAAACGGTTTAGGGTAATTCTCGGGTTCGAGTAAACATGGGCAACGGGCCGTGCCTGGCCGTGCTTTTGGCACACCCCGGCCCACGACACGGCACGACCCACGTGCCTGGCGGGTCGTGCCGGGCCGCGGGCCAAACCGTGCCACTTTCTTTTTTTTTTTTTTTTTTTTTAAATGAACGTAAAAAAAACGATATATAAATATTTTTTAGTACAACTTAATTTTATATAAATAATGTTATTAATTTATGTTTATGTTAATGTTAATATATTTTGTTTTGAACAAACTTTATTTTAATTAAGGTTATAAAAATTATTTATCTAATTATGTTTAAGTTTATATAAATAATTTTATTAATTTAGCAAAAAACAACAATACATATAATAAAAATTAAATTACCACTGTCGTGCCAGACCGTGCCACGTGTCGTGCCGGCGTACCGTGCTCGTGCCGATTCCCAGGATTTTGTTCACGGCACGGCCCACGGCCCATAGGTGGGCCGCCGTGCCGTGCCGGAATCGTGCCGGGCCCGTGCCGCCCGCGTGCCGGCACGGCCCATGCCCATCTTTAGGTTCGAGTCCACTTCGATTCAAGTCAATAATTTGCGGGTTAGAATCAGGTCGGGTCATTCACGGGTTTGAGTCGGATTTGGATCTAGTCAATAATTTGTGGGTCATAATCAGGTTCGGTTATTTCCAATTTGGGTCATTCTCGGGTTCAAGTCAAGTCAAGTTTGGTTCAAGTCAATAATTTATGGGTTATAATCAGGTTGGGTCATTTCCAAGTCGGGTCATTCTCGGGTTCAAGTCGGGTTCGGTTCAAGTCAATAATTTGCGGGTTACAATTAGGTCGAGTCATTTTCAAGTCGGGTCATGTCGGGTTCAATTCAAGTCAATAATTTGCGGGTTATTATCAGGTTGGGTAATTTCCAAGTCGGGTCATGTTCGGGTTCAGGTCTCAAATATTGGGTTAATTTGGGTTTCGAGTTGATTTCGGGTCAAATCATCTTGGGTTCGGATACATTTTTTGGGTCGGTTTGTTAACCGTTCATTTAATGACAATATAACAATATACTACCTCCGTTTCTTTTTAGTTGACACGTATTCCTTTTTAGGAAATTTTGACACATTTCCTTTTGAGGTAAACTTTTTACCTTGCATTTACATGCTACCCCACTTGCTTTTTCATTCTCTCTCACACTCTCTCCTCTCCTTAATATATGTGCCTAAATCAAACGCGTCAACTAAATAGAAACGGAGGAAGTTTATGGCAACATACGAGGGAACTATAGCCTATAATTTAGGAAGATAATTATCTCCTTTGACCATATAACAAATATATAATATATCTAACTCTTAAATTTGGAGATGATGCTTATTTCTTTTGTTGGCCTGGACCGACTTGGTCTACCTAACAAAATGTTTTGATCAATCCAATAATAATAAGGTAGTCTAAATTGAATTTAAGGTTATTTGAAATCAGGTTAGGAACAATTTTGGTTGAATTTAGGTCGGTCAATAACAAGTCGTGTTGATTTTGGGTCGGGTTGAATTTTGGGTCGGGTTAGTAATAGGTCAATAAAATTCGGGTCAGGTCAATAACAAGTCGGGTTGAATTTGGGTTGGGTCAACAAGTTGAATTTCGAGTCTGGTTAGTAACATGTCGGGTTAAATTCGGGTCGGGTTAGGAACGGGTCGGGTTGAATTCAGGTAGGGTTAAAATGGGTTTTGATGGGTTAAAACGGGTTTGGGTCAATTTCGGTTCAGGTCGGGTTTGATTCAGGTCAATAATTTACGAGTTATATTCGGGTCGGGTCAATTCCAGGTCGGTTCATGTTCGGGTTCGGGTCTTAAATACTCGGGTCATCCCGGGTCTATGGTTGGTTTCAGGTCGGGTTCAGGTCACCATTTTTTCGGGTTCAGATGGATCGGTTAATAATCGGGTTCGAGTCGGTATTTCGGGTCGGATCAGCTTTTGACAGCTCTAGGTGTACACTTCACCAGGGTGTATAACAACCTCTCAACTCCCTTTATTTTCCATTCCCTTCCTTTCTTTATCTGCTATCCAAACAAAGTGTAAGAATGTAAAACACAAGGAAAAAGCCAATTCTCATTCAAATAAATCAATCAATTCAATAACAACCAATATTATATAGGCATACATAAGCTAAAACAAAAAACTAACAAATGGGATAGTGATCCACGCATGCATGCACAGATGCACTACATGATTTGCGTCTTCTATATTCACTGCTAACAACTTTTGTCACCGGGCTTCTAAGACTATTTCTGAAGTCTGTTTGGTACGATGTTTGACGGTGCTTGGGATCCGGTGGCTCATAGTGTTGGTGCAGGTTGGAATGTTACTAATATAGTAATATATCCGTATCTCCCATGTTATGAGGGGAGGAGCTTAGGCTTGTGTGACTTACTTTGCGGTTCAGTACGAAATTTGGCCTTTTTTTGTTTGGGACTGCGACATGTGGTTTAGCATAGGTTTAGCCGTGTTTAGGTTTTCATTGACCATGGTTCCATTCCTTGAGTGTACGTAGTACGTGTTTGATTTATTTAGGATACTTGAAGTTCATGAGCTGAGTTTACTTGTACCGTTGTAGTGTTGTACGTAGTATTTTTTTTTTTGAAACAACCGTTGTACGTAGTATTAGAGATTTAGAGCTATCATATTTGGGGCATTGTATTCCTGATTTATTTCTCTCTTTAGGGTCTTTTTCTTTATAAATAAATGTTACTTGCAAAGTTTCAACACTTCCATCAATAAATTTCCATGCATTTTTTTTTTTGGACGAACCATGCAAATTTCTATTCATCTTTTTGATGTTTTTGCATTTTCTTTCCGATTTAATTTTTTCAACTGAATCTTTCTTCAAAAAAAAAAAAAAAAAACAGTTGAAAATAGGCATTTACTTTATTATGCTAAAGTTTCCTCAAAACCTTTATAATACATATTATCTTACTCCAATGTACCACCCCTTTAAAACTTTCTAAAATTTTATTCGTGGTTCTCTTTAATTTTAAAACTCCCTTATTTTATCTTGGATAGACGCTCTTACTTTTTCTCACTTTACTCACTTTTTTTGCAAACTCTTTTGACTAATTATCTTGTTATGTCTCTTTCTATCATACAACTTCTTATTATGATTCATATTAGCTGACCCCAAATAATTATATTATGCACACTCTTTTAACTAATTATCTTGTTATGTCTCTTTCTATCATACAGTTTCTTATGATGATTCAGTATAGGCGACCCCAAATAATTTTGGAAATAAGGCTTTTTTGTTGTTACACTACTATTGTTGTTGTAGTAGTAGTATATGGATGGGTATTAAAATATATACGTGCATGAGATATCTTTATGATAGTATTGATATCGATAAGAACAACCACCAATAAGATTATTAGTTTATTTGAGTCAAGGTATGTATTACAATAGTTATTTCCAAAGGACATACGAAAGATTATTGAGTAAGTAAATAAGCTAAAATAAAGGAATCAAGTATATGTTATTGTCAAAATGAATACAAATATTTTATATTATCTCATAAAAAGATATCATTCTCATCTTCTCGATAAGATGTATACATCCCAAATTACAAACTACGGAGTAATAATTAAATCCTACAAGTACATCATCAAGTAATGTAAAAAAATTACAAAATATTTGATATTTGAAAAGAACACAAAAATATAAAAATTAAGGGTTCTTCTACTAAATTGCCTCAATCTAATGTAGCAATTTCTCTCATAATACGTAAGATAAAGCCCAGCTACAAAGTAGGCTTATTAACTGACCGTCATTTATATATATAATTTTTATTATATGATGGTAATTAATTAATTTTTATTCCTAATGTATGTGTTTACATACCACAACAACAGACATTTCTACCAGGAACAGCCATGCACCCTCCATCTTGACCATAAAATGTCTGGCAATTTTCATTGCATTTGTCGACATCACATTCACCGGCGGTCTCCATACAAGGCGGCTCGCCTTCGCCATCGTTGCCCACGGGTGCTTGGCTTGGAGCGTCACCAAGTTGTTGTTGTTTCAACATTGGTTCCAAAAGAGGTAAGAAATCCGCATATGATTGAGCTAAACTTGTGCCTGTAATTTCATTAAAAAAAAAATAACGTAAATTAATTCATAATAATTATTTAATATTGTTTTTGATATGTATAATTGTGAAAGATATGAATAATGAAAGTATAAAATTAAATTATTACAGCAAAAGCTGAAGAGGACAATTGTAGCCAGGAAAACTGCTGATCCCTTCATATTGTTGATGATCTTGATTGAATTTTAGAGATTTTGTGATATTAACTAGATTATTGTATGTGATTATTACGTAAAAACAATTATGAAAAAGACTGATGATAAAATGTCAATTTATACACAAGAGGCATTTCCAACTTTATGAACAATGCATTATTTTTTGGAAAATTAAGGGGGATCAAAATAGTAAATGGTGTTTAGCCCTTAAATTTTTCAGGTGTAGAAAATTAAGCTCGTCAACATCCTCTCATATTTTAGCATGTTAATTGTCGTCGTTCATTGAATGTTATTAAGTTGAACAAATGTTCATAATATAGAACTCGATCTATTATATTGTTTAAATTAAGTTAAACCTATAAATATGAGAAGAGTATGAAATTAAGTTAATTTGAACCATTTATAAGCGATAAATTTTGCTAATTTTCTTATGTATACACTTTGAGCAAATGTATAGAGAACTTATATATAGTATATATGATATTTTATTTGACTACAATTGAATACAAGTATGCCAAATCAACTAATTATCAAGTTAGTTTTTGTATTTAATAGATAAATTTTATTATTGGTGAGTGGTAAATAGGTCATTAATAATTATATCAGTAAAAATGACACAAAACTTGAAAATTTTATATTATGCACTTATGAATAAAGCAAGCAATAATGCTCTTTTAGGCTTTTATGTATTCATATATGTAAGAAAATGTATACTCAAAGCTAAATTATGAATGATATAAAAGGAAAAATGATGAATAATCCAATGACAAGCAAGGAAGTACAACAAAAGGAGAATAACATATGTACAAAGTACTTCGTATGTCACAAAAAAAAATGTACAAATAAAATTAAACTGTATTTAGAAAGTTCATAATTACATTATTCGCAATTTTTGTTGGTAGTTATTAATACCACCTTTATGTAATACTAAGATTACTTTGTACAAATTTAAATGATTTAAGGTTCTTTGTTTTCAGTAGTAGCACAGGACCTCCAAAACATTTAAGAAGGCGTAAATTTCAGGAAGGAGATGCAATATTCTACCCATTCCATTTCAAGTTAGCTCATTCCAAGACCTTGGCTTTACTCCAAACCAAAAGAATATAACCTTTTCAAATGCCTCAAAAACCCTAATTTCATCTAAAAAATTGTTCCAAATTCCACTCACTATGCAATAATTACTATTAAAAAGAGCATGGTGATGGGCAGCATGTTGTGAGCGTGACACTAGCACCCCCAAATCTTGTAAGGCCACAACTATTGTGGGTAATTTGTTATTTGTTGTGTGGGACCATGCATGAAATTGTTGGCAAAATAAGACACCGGTGGAGAGAGATCCGACAAATGCTAACAAAATCGGGTTATTGCAAATTAGGTTAATAGGTAAGAAAATTAACGTAATGATTTGGGATAGTTCATAGAGGTTGGTGGCTATATGTTTTCTAGTGATGATCCAAGGCTTCTCATGGTGCCCTTGAAAACCCTCGATTTGAGATCCAAATATTGGGGTTTTGGCATCTCCGTAGTTGTCAATGCTCCAATGGTAGACTCCAGTGATAAGATCTGAGAAAATGTATCCAGCTAAGCCTGCTAAGATGGGTTTCTGACAAATTAGAGAGAAATAGAATAGAATAGCTTTTGTATTGCTTGATTATTATTAATCAATAGGTTGAGTATTTATACAAAACCTAAGCTTATAAGATAGGAAACAATCTTCCTAAAAGATATACGTCTAACCATAAACCCTAAAGATATATTCTCAAAATAATATCTTAACATAAATATCCTAATTAAATATATTATTCTCTTAAATGATATCTACGGAAAATATATCACACATATATTTTCCGATATCTCTAACAGTTTCACCCATACGTGGGAATTGATTGAAAGGGCTATGGACTTGACTAGGGCAATAAGCACGGTGATGCATCCAATCGCCAACCATGCTTGGTGCACCCATATAGATTTTGAGGTTGGATAATCGGATTTATGCTCATTAGTGGTTTTATCTTGAGCTCGAATGGCTCGAGTGGTGCTCGGTTGGATGTCCATTATTAGGGTTATTAATCAAGATCGAAGTGTGGGCAGTAATTTGATAAGTTTTGATAGGATTTTTTTGTGCAAATTCGAAGAAGTTTTGTAATGATAGAGGATTATATTGATGTGGGACAATAACTTGAACTTATAAAATTAATGGGCATGGGGAGATATGTATATATAATTAGTGGGCATGGAGGAGATATGTATATTCTAACTTACTAAGCTAAGTTACAAATTATGGTCAAATAAGACAATTTTGCTTATGGAAATACGTACACGAAAGAACATAGTATTACAAAATGATTGCCTTTGATTTCTTGTTAATCCAATACATACCCTAATTAATAAATATTGAAGCCAGACTATTTAATTACATTATACTTATGAAGTATTAAGTGATGTTTACGCTATGTGCTAAGTCAACGCCCAACTCAAGGCATAATCCAATTTAACAAACAAAGTACTATATATATTCTTTATTCAACGCAACAGCTTCACCAAAATTCAAAAAATCTTACGTAGAAAATCAAGTCAAGCTTGTTATTTGGTACTTTTATATTCCTATTTTTGGAAATAAATTGGTTGTAGTCTGCAACAAGAACTTTCCATTCTAGGTAAAACCACATTAGCTTTGGGAAAAAAGTAGTTTTATGTCATCTGGTTGAAAGAAATTCCGTAGAAAATTCTAGTATTTACGTTGAGGTGTGAGCCATTACGAAACGTTCCTTCAATCTATTTTGCTTGCAAATTAAAGTTGCAATATTTATTTCTACTATCTCTTATAACCTCATATTGTAATTTATATTCGAGGAAATATGTCACATGTGATTTTGTTAGGGCCTTTTCACATTTACTTAATTTCAGTTCAGTTCAGCTCCAATCAGTTCAGTTCAGTTCAGTTCCAATCAGTTCAGTTCAGCTCAGTTCAGTAAATGTGAACAGACCCTTAAATTCGTCTCAATTTAGACTTTATTAGAATATAATTTTATCAAAATGTAATAAAAAAATAGTAGTACTTTAAATTGTATTGTTAAATTGGGCGTTTATGGTGGGTATAGTAGAAGTGGTAGGAAGCCATGAAAATGGCTTAGCTTGAAGGTGGTGGAGTTGTATTAGAAGAAATTGATGATATAGGGAGAAGAGGAGAGAGAAAGAGTTTTTGTGATATTATTACCAAAATGAATATAATACTACTATACTTCTAATTACAAGAATGTATTTATACTAATCTTACCAAACTACTTTATCCCTTAACTAATTCTTTTATGTATTAAGACTAACAAACTCAATTAAGGTCATGCTCCAACTGTATACTCCAACATGTATATTGACAAGTGTAAAATACTTAGTGTTGCAAAATGGAGTAGTAAAAGTATTTACAAACTCTCAAATGGACTAGCCTACCAACTCAAGTTGAGTTGATTTCTAAGATATTTGGATTGGTCCAATAAGACAATCTCTTTACCTATAAAAAAAAATTAAAAAGGTAACGTGAGGAGTCAAGTTGACCTGTATGAAACTCTAATATAATAAGATAATTTATTATATAATAAAAGTACACACGTTTGCACCAAAAAATAAAAGTACACACGTGGAAGGACATTATACAAAATGATCGCCTTCTTGTTATTAAATTCAATACACTAAAGAATAATGTATCTTTGTTACACATCATAACTAACAAAGGAAGAAAAGAAACAAGATTCATATGATTCCGGATTGAGGAAGATACTTGAATGGAGAGGCAAAGTGAGGTTTCATTGACTATCATAGATGAAGACTTTAGAGGCGGTTTACCATTCTCCATCAAAACTATGCATAGAAATTATAATGTACTCAATCCTTAGAGAATTGATTTAGGCACACTTGATAATGCATAACTTTAACCATATATATTACAAGTAATTTATAATTATGAAGTTTATAAAAAATTAAATTGTTGATATATAAACAAAATTAGAAATAATAATTCCAACTGTCATTAATTTTGCTAAATTAATCCCAAATATGGATTATTATGGAATAATCCGAACTTTGGAGGTAGTTCTTTTTCTTCAATCCCAAACATCGACTACTGGTTGAATTTTTTTTGGTTAAAATGACACGTGTTGCAAATTAATTGGTTAAAATTTTTTTTAAAAAAACCCAGCCAAAACCCCAATCACCCTAAGATCTCCAGCAACCCCTGTAGCCCAGCCACCACCCTCATCGGATCGTCGCCGCTCTGACGCTTCCCCTAAGCCACAGTCCCCCCCGGCCTCCTTGAAACCCCTACGCAACCACCTGTAAAACCCATCGATCCTCCATTTCGAAAACTTCCAACCACCGCTCTGCTTACCCCGACCGAAAACCTAGCTGTTGGGAGGTTTTCGGGAGTAGGTCGGGGAGGGGCTTCGAATGGTTGGAGGGGTTATAAGGGAGTTTTGGTGTGGAGGACGGGAAACCGAATCGGAAAATGACGGGATTGGGGGTGGAGGTGGGTCGCAACACCGGTACAGGGGGAAAGCGACGCACTGTTAGAAGCCACCACCCTCGTCGGATCATCGCCGCTCTGATGCTTCCCCTAAGTTACAGTCCCCCCGGCCTCCTTGAAACCCCTACGCAACCACCTATAAAACCCATCGATCCTCCATTTTGAAAACTTCCAACCACCACTCCGCTTACTCCGGCCCGAACCCTAGCGGGTAGGGTTTTTGACAATGAGGAAGTGGCTGTTGGGAGATTTTCGGGAGTGGGCCGGGGGAGGGGTTTTGAGGGTGTTTCGAATGGTTGGAGGGGTTATAAGGGAGATTCGGTGTGGAGGGCAGGAAACCGAATCGGAAAACACAACACCGGTACAGGGGGAAAAGCGACGCACTGTTAGCATCGAGCCATTGAATAATACAAATTGTACATTGTACGCATAAATCAATATATAGCATATAGGCAAATAACAAGTTTATCACTTAAGTATGCAAAGTTCCAACCTAGAGTCAAGAGTACATATCCTAATCTATGGTCAAGCTTGAGTAGTCAAAAATTCAAAATACTCTATCGTTAAGAGGTTGATACGTATGTAGTCTCGTAGAGTTTTAGGTTGGCATAGTCTAAACTCATAATGGCTAACCTTTTCTTTTAAGGACCTTTTATAGAAATTCTAGCATTGACTTACATTTTCAAGCATTGAACACGAGTTGTACTTTCCCATGACGGGTGCGGCCCAGACCTGTATCTAACAACAATATTACACTGGAAGCTGTGCAAGATTTCAGCAATTGATACAATCAAATTAAAATGGAATGGAGGGAGTAATTATATCATTTTCATCTATGTCGGGGGAAAACGATACTCCATCTCCAGTCTCCACCTGCGTATACTACCGTACGTAGTATAGTCTATGTCGGCATGTCGCCACACTGCCAAAAAAAAAAACCTATAGTTCACCAGATGCAGAGTCCTGTAAGAGAGTATAATACATTAATACTAATAGAGAAGAAGATCCAAAAGGTTTTGAGGTTAAATGAAAGTGGGTTAATAATGGTGTGGTATTCAAAACTTTTAAATTAAAGGATGAATAGAATGAGACATGTTGAGAAGTGAGGTCAAGATAAATGATAATACATGATAGAGACTGAAAAGGGTTAAAATAGTGAACGTGCCCCTATTATATATGGCATACTCCATTGCTTTTTTTTTTAGGAAAAATTGTCAGGAACTACATGCTAAATAGGGGTATTTGGAAACAACTACCCACTAAAAAAATTTATCAAAAAAACTACCCCCTAAATTTAAATAGTTAGAGTAGCACTATCTATTTGCATTTTTCAATGAAAAAGTCCGGCGTGTAGGGCCCACTTTTTCAATTTTTCTTCTGAAAATTCCTAATTGAAGAAGTGAAAACAAGTAAGGTATTCAATTCATAGGTAACTCTTCTCTTTTAATCCATTAATTATGAATTTTGATGTTAGGGTGTAACGATTAGAAAAATTAGGGTTCTTAGAAATTGGGGATAATTTGAAATTGGTTGAATTTATTGCTTTTAATTCAAATTGGTTATCTTAGGGTTACAAATTAAGGTCCAATTTGTCATTTCATCGTGTTTTTTCAGAGAAAAATTGAAAAAGTGGGCCCATGCGCCGGACATTCTCGCCGGAAAATGCAAATGGGTAGTGTTACTCTAACTTTTTAAATTTAGGGGTAGTTTTTTTGATAAAATTTTTTAGTGGGTAGTTGTTTTCAAATACCTCTATTAAACGTGTAGTTCACAAATTTTTCTTTTTTTATTATTTTTTTTAAGGAAAGATAATCAAGAAGTTAGAATAATATTCTCTCAAAACAATACCCTAACTTAAAAAATAAATAAATAAACTGCTGATACGAAACATATCAATATCTTAATAAATTTGCATAAAATGGCTCAGAAACAACATAATTTGCTACACTATTACACTCACTATAAATGGCATACTCCATTATTGCATATTACTTACTTTACTAATCTTTGCATTTTGTGAAATCACTAATTTGTGTTGGCATAATGTTTTATACACAAAACACAATATCATGCAAATTTATGTGTATTTTTCTAATACTATATTCACCGATAAAGTATCTTATGCATTGCACGGACCAGGAAACTAATTATATATTTATATTGCATTATAATACAATGACATCAACCGCTACAAAGATTACATTGTTTAGATAGTTCACAATAATTTAAATTCTCAAGGAAATACAAAATAAGTGATTCAAAAAGACACTTTATTATCGAGACTAGGAAAGAGGTGTAATATTCTCCTTAGTCAACTTCAAGCTCGGCTCATTCCAAGACCTTGGCTTCACTCCAAACCAAAAGAATATAGCCTTTTCAAATGCCACAAATACCTTATTTTCGTCTAAAAATTTGTTCCAAATTCCACTTACTATGCAATAGTTACTATTAAAAGGAACATGATGATGGGCAGCATGTTGTGTGCGTGACACTAGCACCCCCAAATCTTGCAAGGTCACAACTATTGGAGGTAACTTGCTCTTTGTTGAGTGAGACCATGCATGAAATTGTTGGCTAAATAAGAGGCAAGTCGATAAGCATCCAATAAATGCCATTAAAATCGCGTCATTAAAAAAGAGGTTAATAGGTAAGAAAATGAAGGTCGCGGCTTGGCCTAGAGCATGAAAATTGTTGGCTACTTCACGTCTTGTGATGTACCAAGGCATGTCATGGTGCCCTTGGAAGTCGTCGATTTGAGCTCCAAATATGGGGGTGTTTACATCTCCATAGTTGTCTACGCTCCAATGGTAGACTCCGAACATGAGATCTGCTACAACATACCCAACTAAGCCAGCTATGATTGGCTCGGCCCATATATGGGAATGGATTGAGGCCACCATTGACTTGGTTAGGGCAATTAGCACGGTTGTGCACCCGCTAACTAACCAAGCTCGGTGAACCCATGTGGATTTGAAAGCCGGATCATCGTGCTTGAGCCCCTCGGTGATCTTAGCTTGAGCCACTATGGGTTGGGTAGAGCTCGGTTCGACTTTTGAGGAGGTTGACATTGGACACATTCTTGTTGAAAAGTGTTTGAGAAGGGGTGGTACCTTAAATAAATAAAGGATATGGTGGAAATACGTACACGGAAGATCAATAATAAAATTTATACCCAAAAAAAAAATGTTTTGGGAAAACTAGCCAAACTTGTGGAGGGTAACAAAAAAAATTATACAATATTAAGTTTATCTTGAAAAAGTTAATCAAATCATACAATATTCATGTGGATTTCTCTAAGCTAATAGTGGCTATTAGCCTATTACAGTTTATCTTGAATAAGTTAATCAAGTCATACAACATTTATGTGAAAATGTTTTTTTTTTTTTCCTTAAGAAATGTTTTTTAAGCCATTAAATTAAAGGGTAAGTCTTATATTTGGCTAACCACACAGTGTGACCACATTAGTTTAAATTATAATAATAATATTCATTTATATATATGAGTAGCCTCAATTTTTCATAAGAGTAATCTCATATTGTCCATAAAAGTAACCCAAATTTATTATACGAGTGAATTCAAGTATTTAGAAATAAGTAACTCCATTTGTTCATTTAAGCAACCCTATTATATTTGGCCCAAGTGCACAAACCCAAACCCTTGCTACTAAACCTGGGCACGGGCCGGGTTGGCCCGCGTGCCGCCCGGCACGGCCCGCCGTTCGGAGCAGCCCGGCACGGCCCGAAGTCAAGCACGGCACGGCACGAAGTTCGACTTCCGTGCCACGGGCCGTGCCACGGACACGGTGGAGAATTCCCAGGCACGGCCCGGCACGAGCACGGGCATGGCCCGCCGTGCTGGCCCGCAGGCACGGCCCGCGGGCCAACGGCTATAAAACGGCTATAAACGGCTAGTTTTTTGCCAAAAATTCTATAAATACTCACCTCCATTTCATTCCCAAATCACAAAATCACAATCTCTTCTTCTTATCTCTTATATTCTCTAAATCTCTAATAATCCTTATTTTCTTAAATTCTCTAATTATTCTCTTAAATTCTCTAATTATTTTCCTAATATCGGAAAAAATTAAAAAGTTCGTAATCGTAATTAGTGGAGCGTTGAAGCACGGTTGTAAGATCTAAACTAATCTTAAATTTATTATTGTTTTATTGTTATTATTAGAATAATCTTGTTTAATTATTATTGTTGTTAATTGTTATTGTTGTTGTTATAATTGTTGTTATTAATTATTATTATTGTTACAATTGTTGTTATTATTTATTTTTGTTGTTATTGTTATTGTTATAGTTGTTGTTATTAATTATTATTATTGATATTTTTATTGTTAAAATTGTTGTTATTAATTATTATTATTATAGTTAACCACTTTTTATTAAAAAATTAATTGTTAATTATGGCATCGAACAACCCATCATCTAGGTCTAGGGGGAAAGGCCGACTTATCCGTAGTAGTAGTTCTAGGGAACCACCAAATACAACGAGCCCCCAAATTACGAGTCAAACCAATGACCCCATTTACTTCCCCCCGGGCTATGAGCCATATAATACGTCGGGATTTCCAGCACCACCACTAAACCAATTTCCACTACCACCATACCAATTTCCACCTAATTATATCGGTAATCAACAAAACTATTGTTCTAGCCAAGGTAGCCAAGAAAGTACCCGAATTCCCTCCGGTTCTACCCCTTCTACTGCCACTCCCACTAGTCCCCCTACTAACCATCACACACATCATGAATGGTTAACCGAAACCGAGATGCTACTTTTGAAAAACCGAAGGAGTGAGGTATGGCGTTATTTTGTCCTAAGTAAAGATGGTGGACAATGGGCAAAATGTAAAACATGTAATAGTGTATTCACGGCAGTTACCAAAAACGGGACGGGACACTTATCTAGACACATGAAAGCTTGTGCAAAACCAGCTAGTGATCCAACCCAGCCCAAAATTTCCCAATTCCATCCATACGGCTTTACATACAACTATGAGAGGGATAGGGATGAACTAGGAAAAATGATAGTACACGCCGAACAACCTTTTCTTTTCTCGGAAAGTGACGCATTCAACACCTACATTAACAAAGCACTACAACCCCAACATAAAAGAATCTCTAGGAAAACCGTTCGTTCCGCCGCAATGAAAAATTTCCTAGAGTACAAAGTCCGGTTACAAGCCGAATTGAGTAACCTTAACTGTAGAGTATCTTTAACAGCCGATTCTTGGGATAGTGGTTATAAATATCACTATTTATGTGTGACTTGCCATTGGGTAGATGATCAATGGATGTTACAAAAAAGAATAATACATTTCAAAATGCTGGAATACCCACACACCGGCATTAACATTGCTCACCATTTAATGCAAGCAATAGACGAATACAACCTTCGAGATAAAATGATGTCTATGACTTTTGATAATGCAACCTCTATGACATACACAGCTAATCTTATCAAACAAAACTTAACCGATGTACTATTAGACGGTGAAGCTCTTCATACTAGATGTGTTTGCCATGTACTTAACTTATGTGTACAGGATGGAGTTCGGGCAATTGGCCCATACTACAGCAAAATCAGAGATGCTATTATGTCTATTAATAGCTCTAACATGAGATACCAAGAATGGAAGAGTTTTCTAAAACAACAAAAGATAAGGGTAATAAAAATTAGAACCGATTGCCCAACTAGGTGGAATTCCACCTATGACATGTTAACAAAGGCAATTGAGTACAAGGGCCCGTTAACATTATTTTACAACCAAAAATTTCCACAAAATGCTTTGTATGATGATGATTGGAATAACTGTGAAAGATATATGCAATTTTTACAGTTATTATATAACATGACGTATTGTTTTTCTACTGTTTACAATCCTTGTGCTCAAAACTTTCTTTCTAATGCATGCTTACTCGCCCAACTTTTCGCTGATCATCGCGATCAAAGTGATTATGATCAGTATCTTCCAGCAATGGAAAAAAAGTGGCGTAAATATTATAGTGAGATTCCTTTGATTTATATTTTTGCTTCCATATTAGATCCTAGGCAAAAGTATGAAAACACATTTATGTTAGTTGACATTTACTTTCAATGCATGTTTCTTGACGATGATGTAGAAAACTATAAGACTAATGTGAAGGATAAGTTTTTTGCTTTATATAGAGTCTATGAAGCCAAATATGGCACCGTTCCTCGCTCAGGGCCTTCCCAACCATCCAAAAACGTAAGTAAGAAGGCCAAACATTTATTTTCACAAGCTACTAACTTGATTTCAAGGTTTTCAGGTGATTCATCAATCAAGAGAACGCAAAGCGACGTCTCGGAGTTGCAGATGTACCTGAGTTACGACTTCACCAAAGGCATGGACGACGATGAGATAAACAGCCTCGACCTCCTTGCATGGTGGAAACAACAAAGCTCGAAGCATCCAACTTTGGCGGCAATGGCACGAGACATTCTTGCTATCCAAGTTTCCTCCGTCGCCTCCGAACGAGCTTTCAGCGCATCCGGAAGGGTTTTAGACGATAGAAGAACAAGTCTAAAACCCGAAACACTAGAAATGTGCGTGTGTTTCAAAGATTGGTTGGATGCGGAAAATCGCTCACAAGACCGTTCTTACGACCACAACGACAACGAAGAAGGAACCTCCGCTTCCGGTTCGGGTTCGGCTAGTTCCCAATCTATGCAACTAGCCGATGACCTTGAAGGCGAAGGCGAAGACGAAGACGAAGACGAAGACGAAGACGAAGACGAAGACGAAGACGAAGACGAAGACGAGCAAGAAGAAGGAGAAGAAGAATAGACAATTATTGTATATTGTACGATTTTAAAAATATCAATTTTATCATTTTCCAATTTTTGTTTAATACCATCATTGTATGATTTTTATCATTGTTATCATTGTACAATTTTCTCAACCCAAGTAATAATAATATAAAGTACGCATTATTCACATCCAAAGTCCAATTTGCCTTTTTTCCCCGTTTTGTTACAATTTGTAAATTCATATTAAAAAAAAATAAAATTATACCAATTACTAATAAATCATAAACATTAAATTTTAAAGTAATAGTATAAAGTAAATATATAAATATAAATATTGAATATACAAATTATAAAACATAAATATTCAACTTATAATTATAAAATTCATAACTTAATAACTTATAACTTATAAGTTATAAACTTATAAGTTACCTTATAAAACTTATAATTATAATTTTATAACTTATATACATTATAAACTTATTAATTAATAATGTTGTCATTTTAAAAAAAAAAAAAAAAATGAAAACTGCACCAGCCCGCGCAGGCCAGCCCGCAGCCCGGCACGTGGCCGGCACGGCACGAGCCCGCCAGGCACGAGGGCCGTGCCGTGCCGTGGGCTGGCCTGTGAAAATGGCCGGCACGGCATGGCACGAAATCCTGGGCCCGCCGGCACGACCGGCACGGCACGAACCAGCTCGCGGCCCGCCAGGCACGGCCCGCGGCGGCCCGGCACGGCACGGTGCCCAGGATTACTTGCTACTATGGAGCTACACTTCTTTTCCTATCTCACTTATGTACACATATTCTATTTATTCTTTGTTTTTTCTCTAATTATTTTAAGCTTAAAAAAAAAGTTGTTTTTCGCCGAAAAATCATTGGGTTTAATGAACCGACTTGAACCCATTGTGGATCCGCCACTGATCTAATATGTGTATAGTTGTATACAATCCAGGGCTTTTGCTTTCCTTTATTTTGTAGGTATTGTGTATGAGATAATTACCCTGTTCTTTTAAATTGTTATGCCTCTACTCTGCTTTGCTGCTATGCTGAAACCTGATGTGCTCTGCCCTACTTTGTTTATACCTACTATGTTCTGCTTTGTAATGTGTTGGAAGTCTTGCTCTACTCAACTCTGCTAAAATCTGCCCATAAGCTCAAAAGAATATAGCATAGCTACTTGTAAGTTCAGCAAGAAACTAAAAAAAAAACTTGGAATTGATAAAGAGCAAGAGAGTAGAGCTGGCTCCTTTTTAAGTTGGGCTTTTAACTATGTTGATTTTTATTGGGCTTGTACTGGCGGGCTAGACCCTGATGACCCACCATGAAAATCCGCTCCTATCCAGCAATACATGAAAAAAAAATTGAACTTATTTTTATCAAACTGAAATTATTTTTACTGAACATTATTTTTTTTAAGATGAAGTAGTGAACATGACTTCAGTTTTTCTGTTTAATTTTCTTATACTATGCATATTTTTTCTTAATATTTTACTGTATTAATTTAGCTTAATTGGTTATATATATTTTTTTGTTTAGAGAGCCACAAGGGCGGATGTGAGAATCGATCCCAAGATCTCCTGGAATCGGGAGGGAAACTCTAACCACTTTAGCTATCCCTCACTCTCTTAATTGGTTATATATGTATATGCATTATTTTTTTTAATGGTGTAATTGGTTGTGTATAGTAAGGGCTGAAAATATAATTTTCCTAATGGTTGAAACGACAAACACTCCATGTAGTCCGTAGTATTGAGACTGATTGACTTTGCTGGTTTCCTAATAAGACATTGTTCTAAAATTCTCAAAAATTAAAGAATAGTTTGCGTAACGTATGCAAAAAAATGAAAAAATTTCTTCCATAATGATTTTCTTGTATACAATAAATTGGAGAAGAATAGAAGATACTTCACGAATTGTTGTACAAACTTATTTGGGCTTGGCCCTCCTTTGCACCAAAAAAATAAAATTGTGCTACAAACAAAAATATATTGGAGAACCAATGTTTAAATAAAAAAAAAAAATTATAAAAAAAAAGTATATGAACAGAATATATAATAGAAACTTCATCATTAAGGCAAGGAAGAAAGTATAGAACTCTCCTCGGTCCATTCCAAGCTAGGTTCACTCCAAGACCTTGGCCTAACTCCTAATTGAAAAAATATAACCATTTCAAGTGCTTCAAGAATCTTATTTTCATCCAAAAATTTGTTCCAAATTCCACTTACTATGCAATAATTACTATTGTAAGGAGAACGATGATGATTAGCATGTTCTAATCGTGACACTAGTACCCCCATATCTTGTAACGTTACTACTATTGGTGGTAGCTTGCTCTTTGTTGAATGTGACCATGCATGAAATTGTTGGCTAAACATGATGCAACCCGCGAAGGATCCGACAAATGCGAGTAGGATCGGGTCGTTGAGGACTAGGTTTATGGGTAGGACCGTGAAGGTTATTATTTTGGCTAATGCATGGAGGTTGTTAGCAAATTGGCGCTTTGTGATGGTCCATGGCCATTTGTGGTGCCCTTGGAAGGCATCAATTTGGCCTCCGAATAACGGGGTTGTGGCATCTCCATAGTTGTCGATGCCCCAATGGTAGACTCCTGATCCGAGATCTGCCAAAACATACCCGACTAAACCAGCTAAAATAGGCTCGGCCCAAATATGGGAATCTGCTGAAACAGCTACACACTTAGCTAGGGAAACTAGCAAAGTCGTGCACCCGCTGGCCAACCAGGCTCTATGGCCCCACGTGGACTTTAAGGCCGGATCATCCGGCCTAGGTCCTTTAGGGGTTATTGGAACTTGAGCCGGTGTAGGTTGAGTAGAACTTGGTTTGACTACTAAACGGGTCGGACCAAGGTTTGGTTTTACCGGGGTGGCGGTGCAATGAACCCGAGTTCGAATGATGTGGATAATTTGGTAGTTTTTTGTTAGCATGTTGGTAAGGAGACTTCTTGAAGAGGTTCTTTTGTTGAGGTAAGATTGACATTGGACATTAAGATGGTGGTAGACTTGCAGGGGTGCCTAAGGGGATTAATATGAAATAGGGTGGTATTTTTATAAGTGGACAATATAATTTGTAAATACGTTTGCTAGAAAATAATAATTAGAAAAATAATAAATAAATAAATGTGGTTGGAGTTGATGAGAAAGGACTTGTGGTGGATGAGAAGATAGAATCGATAAGTAATGTGGTATGGAGAAGAGATGCGTGGGACTATTTGGATGCCTCAATTAGGGAACTTTTTGGATGGTGATATGGGGGTCACTTGTTATACTTCGCATTAGTTATGACTTATGATCATGTCTATTAGTTAGTACTTCGTATTAATTAGTAAGTCATATTTGATATTTTGGTATCAAAGCTAGATATTCTAAAAACGTAAAGAAACTAAAAGTGAGTAGGAAGAATTGAATATGTAAATGGAATTAATATCTATAAAATGTGGATGTCAATAATCTTAATTAGTGAAAGTCTTACATACACGATGGTACTAAACGCATAATAAAAATTGAAAACCAGTATACTATGTATATCATAATCCCTTTATGGCTTTTTTTCCAACAGATTGATTAAAAAAAAATTACGATTCAAATGTAACACTAACTATTGCAAAAAAAAAAAAAAAAAAAGTATTTAAGGGTTGGAGGTAGAAGGAATCAAGGAACAAGCTCAAAGAAATACTCCGTAGAATGTATTCTGAAGTAATCAAACTTCCAACTCATTTCTTTTTTCCTAATTATTTTCCTCCACAAAATTACAAGTATTGCATTTTGCAATTCAACTTGCCAAAATTAAAGGTAGAAGAGAAAAATGATAAACGGAATTGGTTGTCAAATAGCTCTTCTTTGTTAGAAAGGAGCTAATGTGCCAAAATAGTGGGCAAATAGCCGTATATTCCAAGATGCTACTAAGAACATGAGGCAAATATGTGTTCAATACATTGCTTAGTGTCTATGGAGTACCTTTTTTTCCTTTTTCTTTTCAATTTCGATTCTAATTTCATTAATAATATAATGGACTAATGGTGATGGATGATGGGCCCGGTGGCACAACTCGTTACGCTTATAAATATAATAAAGACCATCAAATTAAACACTCAAAAATAAAATAGGCATGTTGCAGATAAGTTATAACAATCTTAAAACAGAAAGAGTATTTCTCTCTTTTCTCTTTAGATTTTAATTAAAAAAAATTAGAGTTAGCAAGTCGAAAATAGTCAAAAGTAGGTTAGCTCCCGTGCCATACACGGTAATTTTCAATTAATATTTTTAAAATTAACACTATATTGTAATTTCCAATAACTATTTTTAAAATTAACACTACATTAAAAAAAAATTACTTTCGTATGTTATATTCATATCAATTAAATGGAACAAAAAAATTGCACTAATAATAATCAACATGTGCCGGTCTTGGAAAGTTTTATTGAAGTATCCATAGTTAATTATAGTATAGTATTAATTGGTTAATAGTCTAGTCATAAATAATTCAAGGAAATAGCAAAAGTTTTATTAGTTTAATTAATATGGGCATTTCATTGTTGAATCTTGTAGCTTAGCTTCTATTAAGAAAATATATAATCTTATTGTAATAAATGTATGTAGTGCGTACTACGTACGCGATACACACATATATATATAAAATACGTACATATATAATTTATGTGTTTCCTAAAACAAATACTCCATATGATAAGAATATTATTTTTTATTTTATTTTTTGCTTAATTTAAGTCATCATAGTTGTCAATATTTTTTTTTTGGAAAGATGCATCAAATCTTCTATTATACTTTATATATGTAAAGGATTTGATTCTTAAATAATTTTTTCAAAAAAAAAAAAAAAAAAAAAAAAAAAAAAAAAAAAAAAAACCCTACTAAGGACACACATGTGTCATTGTTGGTGTGTCTTTTAGTATATAGTTATTGATGATTGATTTAATCAACATTTTGGCTATTTCCAACCCTATATATCATTTTAAAAGCGTAACTTGCATGTCCTCTATAGTGGTATTTGTTCGAGTATAGTTGAATTATATGAGTTTAATATTATACAAAGTTAATAATTTTTGTAAAAATTTATGCATGATCAACTAAAGAGGTTAATTCTTAGACTACAATAATTAGATGAATCATACGAAATAATCATAAAGTATATAACAGATGATTGAGCTAGACGAATGCTATAAAATACCAAGATACGTTAGAGCAAAGGTAAAAAAAAGTTGATATGCCACAGGCGTAACTTTGCAAAAGCGAGATTTTTATTATTTTTAATATACAAAAAAGGATAACATGCGGGATGGTCATACTGTGTGGCCAGCTATTATTAGGGTTACTTCGTCAGTGAGTGTTATAGGAGTTACTCGATTAGTGTTATAGGGGTTACTTTGTCAGTGTTATAGGAGTTATAATGTTATATGAGTTACTCGGTCAGTGTTATAAAGGTTATTCCGTCAGTATTACATGAGTTACTCTATTAGTGTTATAGGGTTTAATTTTTTCTTTTACAAGCAGTCATATAATGTAGCCACCCGGACACAAAAACGCATTGTAATTTTTTTAAAAAAAAATTATTCAGATGATCTTTGAGAAGCTAAAAATAAAGGTGAAAATCTAAAAATAAAATTTCTAGTCATTACAGCAACAAGAAAACAGCCCTGGGCCAACCCTAAAGCACTCATCTTTTTCGCAAGGGGGGGGGGGGGGGAGAAAGTGCACCCGCTGTCACAATTTTGAAGCATATAACATCTGTGATGTTGATCGAGAATCTCTGCTTGGGGTTTCAAAGCCAACTTAGAAGGATCTAAATGATCTTGATTTGATATCCCTATTAAAAAAAATATTTATCATAGTACAACATCTTAGTTTCAAAATAAATTGGCTAACATAAATCGTTAAAGATAATAATAATAATAATAATAATAATAATAGTAATAATAATAACGATCTTGCTAACGAGCGCCCCGGGGCGTTAGATAAGGATAAATTATATTGGTTGAAATAGTATTAAGTTAGGAATTCATGACAAAATCACGCGTCGTTCGGTGTAATTAATGTTAATTTTACTCTAATATTTACACTTTAATTCTCTTATTTAACGCCCCGGGGGCGCTCATTAGCTTTTGCCTAATAATAATAATAATAATAATAATTTTTTTTTTTGTAGGTTGTATGAGTTTGTTTTTGAGACAATAATAATAATAATAATAATAATAATAATAATAATAATAATAATAATAATAATAATAATAATTAAACAACCACAAGTAATGCTCCTTAAAACTTACCATGAGAAGTGACAAAGAGTATCACCAAAAAGAGGGACAACAATGTAGAAATTTTCATGCTCAAGAACTTCACAAACAAATTAAATGCTAATATTCAAAACTAATAAAAATTGAACACTAATGAATGTGTGAAGCGATATTCTATTAACCTGTTTTTACTTATTAAAATAAACTTCTATCTTATGTATATTTATCTTATCTTATATTATCTTATCTTATCTAAACTTATATGGAACCTTATTAATTTTTATTATAACTAGTCGTTGGAGCACGCGCGATGCGCGTGCCCCCCCCGACGACAAGATAAGTAAAATTCGTGGTTATGTTTTGTTTTGTGATATTCGTGGTTGTGTTCGGGTTTTGCAGTAGCAATAATACATGAATATACGAGTAGTGATAAAGTTTCTACATGAAAATATTTATAGAACAACAATTTTAAAAGTAAAAAAGTTATCTAGAATTTGTTAGAATATATAGTTTTTTAAAAAACTATACTATTATTTTAGATATTATTTTAGAATGCACTATGGGTTTTTTTTTATTGAGTAGCTCAATAATTTTCAAATATCTCCATCTTAAAATGATTATGATAATTAGGATGCACTATGGGTTTTTTATTGGGTTTTTTTTACCAAGTAGCTCAATAATTTTCAAATTATTTTGCTCAATAATTATTTCACTCTTTTTTTTTTTTTTGAAAATTATAAGCTGCATTTGTTCTCCCAATCCATATCCCCCGACTTCTTTACCTTTCCCATCTTTTCTCTACATTTCTCTCTTTCTTGCGGCCTCCTAATCTCTTTAATTTCTTTCCCAATCCCTTTCTGTGTCTCTAGGCCCCTTTATCTCTTATCGTTTCTTCTTTAAACCCTTCTCACCCTCTTCTGGTCCTCTTTCTCTTTCTTTCTTCCTCTTAGGCCCACTTTCTTTTTCTTTCTCTTTTCTCTTAACTTCTCTCTCATGTCCTTTGTTTCTTTATTCACTCTCTCTGAGACCTCTTCTCTCGCGTCCTCCCTTTCTCTCTCTCTCTCTCTCTCAGCCCTCTTTGTCTCTTTTTCGGTCCGTGTTCTCTCTTGACACTTCTATTTCCCTACTCCTTCCCTCTCTCATCCTCTCCCCCTCCCCACTGCCCCTTTCTGTTCTCTTATCCTCTCTTCACATAATGTCTTTATTTATGTATTTTTTGATATTATGTGGCTTATTTCTCCTTTGTATTGTGTGTTATTATATATTATTAAGGTGATTTTGAAATATAAAAAGATGAACAAAATAAAGGGTTTCAATGTCTATGGAAAGAAGCATGGTATATGCAAACTAAAGGAAATATTATGTAAGAATCCAACGCATTCTACCTTAAGGTTGAATATATTTTCTAAATATGTTATCAATAAAATTGACCTTGTAGACAAATTATCACATTAGTATTGGTTTTATATCACATCAAATTGACAATTAATTGACCATCTTTTTCCCTCCCTCCCTCCCTCCCTCCCTCCCTAGGTTGTGATTTTCAAAATTTATAACTCTTTATTTGCATTCTTGCCGTTCTCAATCATTCTCCTCTCTCTTTCCATGTTTTGTTACATTGTACCACTTAGGTTTTCCAAATTATAAAGTCTATTTGAAAAATATTGTTTTTCTTTTCAAATTCAAAATTCTTTTCAAGAAGTGTTGTATAACTTTAATTTATTCGGTTAAATAGAATATTGTGGCTGCACATAAAATTTTTAAAAGATTATCATACACAACAATAACAATAACAATAACAATAACAACAACAACAACAAGAAGAACAACAAGAAGAAGAATAATAGTAATAATAATAATAATAATAATAATAATAATAATAATAATAATAATAATAATAATAATAATAATAATAATAATAATAATAATAATAATAATAATAATAATAATAATAATAATAATAATAATAATAATAATAATAATAATAATAATAATAATAATAATAATAATAATAATAATAATAATAATAATAATAATAATAATAATAATAATAATAATAATAATAATAATAATAATAATAATAATAATAATAATAATAATAATAATAATAATAATAATAATAATAATAATAATAATAATAATAATAATAATAATAATAATAATAATAATAATAATAATAATAATAATAATAATAATAAAAAAAAAAAAAAAAAAAAAAAAAAAAAAAAAAAAAAAAAAAAAAAAAAAAAAAAAAAAAAAAAAAAAAAAAAAAAAAATAATAATAATAATAATAATAATAATAATAATAATAATAATAATAATAATAATAATAATAATAATAAATAATAATAATAATAATAATAATAATAATAATAATAATAATAAATAATAATAATAATAATAATAATAATAATAATAATAATAATAATAATAATAATAATAATAATAATAATAATAATAATAATAATAATAATAATAATAATAATAATAATAATAATAATAATAATAATAATAATAATAATAATAATAATAATAATAATATAATAATAATAATAAATAATAATAATAATAAGATTTTACAATGTAAATTATCACTCTTACACATCAATAAGCAGAGAGTAGTACAATGACCTTTGATTATCTAAGGAAATTGAAGCTACATGGTTTGTATACATATTACATATAATGTATAAGTGTACATTGTTTCTACATAATACTATAGATGCATCTTACAATTAAACTACTGACTTACTTTAGTTAAAACACCCTCTTGTCCGTATATATGTTTCACATCATCTTTTGTCTGCTTTCCAAACCTCAAGTCCCAAAATGATTTCAACAAGGCTTCAAAGTCAGGTGTTCGGAGTTCATCTATTGATGTCATACTTGGTGGGTTAATTGATTTCTTCCTTGGTGTCAAGCGAGTTGGCTCATCCACCTGCTGAAGCAAGAAGAATTAAGGATAGTTATAGATTTATAGGTATAATACAATTTAAATTATCTTATGACTTCTTCACAGTTTCAGATAATCAACAATCAACTGAGTACTTCTCATAGAAAATAGTGACTTGATAACTAAAATTCCTTTAAGACATCGACTTTCAAGTCGGAAATTGCTACTCTAAAAATGTTGGACATGAAGTATAATAAATCTATTGAAGTTGTTAATTGTTATGGTAAATTCACAACTTAGGAATTGTACCAATATAATATAATTTGGTTTACAGTATATCAATGTCAAATCATTCAATAGGACAATGATCTTTTAGTAATGCTACAAATAATTTACATTGCTGCAATCAATCCCATGACACGAACGTCAAACCGACATCACTTTTCCTTTCTTAGCAGATTGCTGCAATCAATCCCATGACATGGACATCACTTATACACTAATTTACTATCCTACGATGCCCAGAGTCTGGGAAGTAAACTCTCCACCACAAAAGTTCCAAAATCAAAATCATACATGCATCAACAGATAACATACCAATTAAGCAACAAACCTATTACAATGCAGAATGTAAAGGAAAAAAAACTCACAATTAAACTGAGCACTACAGGCAGACAGAATTGATGAAGCAACCGTAGATCCTCCGGTTATGCAGGGAGCACTCGGTACAGATTTACCTATCAAAAGATCAAAAATAAATCAACACCTTTGTACAAAAATGTTCGGTAAGTTCAATAGAAACTGGGACCCAATAATTGCAACTTGCTTAACACTGCACAAAATTTAAGAGAAGATCAGTAGCATGGACAAACATTACAAATATACAACGAAGTTGAGAGGAGACACAAGATTAATCTTGACAATATAACTCTCACTGAATTTTGGTAAAAGTACATAATAATATCAATTAAGTTTGCTGCAATGCCATATACGAAGTATGTTAACAAGACCGCTATTCCCAAACTTATTCACAAAAAAATCTATCACCACCCTTCTTTAACTCCAAGCACCAACAATTATATAACTCACAGCTGTACAAATCATTAAGAGCGCAATCATTAGAGCAAAAAAATCTAATGCAAATTAAGCTCCAATTCACTTCTTATACAATAACCATGAAATTCATATAACCCTATACCATCCATTAAAGAGGCTAAATAATATTACATTCAATAAATAGCACCATGACATGTGAAATAGCCAAATCATAATGATAGCATAACCAAATTCCTCCACCTAACCAAAGAAACTACACAAGAGTAAATACTCCAGGTAGCTCAAATAGGATAATAAACAATATGGGAAGTTCAATAACTAAAAACACCCTGTCAAAAAAAGGAAAAAAAAAAAACTCTAAACAAGAATCAGTTTCTTTTATATTATTAGACCAATCCAAGTCCTCGATCTAAAGGCTAAAGCTATACAAGGCATTTGAAGCAAAAACAGTATAAACAATCTTCACAAGGACAACAATCAATTCAATTCTTATTCTACCCTTACAAAGTGTCATGATGCAGCAGTTTGAGGTTAAGAAAATTCTGCATATGACCACTTTTTGGATCAAAGTACACAAATAAAATTCATTTATTCCCTCAACATAGAAATCCAACAATACTAAATAAAACCCCAAATCCCAGAATTCAAATTCAACAGACTAAACATCCCAAAAAACCTGAGAAATGGACTAAACATAAATAAACAAAGAAAGATACCTGCCAAAGAATGAAAGGATACTGAAAATTGAAGGCATTGGAGGATTGAGGAACGCACTTTCCTGGAAGCAACAAAATCTATAAGAAAGCGGCGCTTAGAAGTAAATTTCGTAAGAAAGCAGCAGGTTAGTAGACATTTAGCTTACCTCCCCCAGAGAGTTTCACAATGTCTTCTTCTCATTAGGGAATTGGGTTGTTGTCATCATACTCAATCCACTTTCCTGGAAGCAACAAAATCTATAAGAATTGAAAAATCTAGAATAATACTTCGTATCAGAGATAGCTTAAACATATGTTTTTCCACCACTAACCATTATCTTGCTTCACCCAACCAACATAGTGCCCTGAATAAGCACTTCTACCCTTGTGAGTTAACACAGCAACTAAATCATAAACTCCAGTCAAGTGCATCTCCTTCTCAGATAAAATATCTGCAAAGATAGATTAGCATACATTAAGCATGGTTTGATACCAACCTTTAGAGTAAAAAAAAAAAAATCCCATACAAAAATGTAATTTACATTATGAAAATATTGGATCTCCTATTAAAACTACTCTATTTACATAAGGTTTGAAATTTTAAAAAAGTTTAGATAGATTCCCCGCACTCCGCTTGAATTAACATTTATTATAATAGAATTTGTATTTACTCACATTTTTTGGCTTCAATTCAATCCAAAATCAATCTCAACATGCAATTAACAATCTTCCAAAAAAAAAAAAGAAAGATAACAAGTAAGCTATTCATATTAAAGGCTAGATGAAAACTGAACCAATTAGAACAAGAAAGAGAAACGGGAGATAGAATTGTACATGTAGATCAACAATTTGTTACAAATCAGACAATAATGCTACTAGCAATATAAAAAATCAACCCAAAAAACGATAAATCACACGAATTCAACCCGAAAAAACCACCAAACAATCAAAGAAGGCACTAAATTTCAACCCAGAAAACGAAAATAAATAGAACAAATAAACCCTTAAAAAATCGAAAAAAAAAAAAAAAACAAACAAATAAACCCAAAAAAACGAAAACAAATTGATCAAATAAACCCCATTGAAAACAAAACGATTAATCAGAAATACACCCACAAAGATTCAACCCAAAAAATTCGAAAACATATCGAAAATAACAGGAATGTATATGCAAAAAATCCACGACAATCGAATAAGTAAAGCCCAAAAATTTGAAACTAAATTGAGAAAGAGAAACGAGATCGGACCTGATGAATGTGACGAGATCGGAAAATCGAAGCACCCTCATCGAAACTCGAAAGGACAATCGTTGGTCTTGAGTTGCAGAAGTTTCTCTCTCCAGGTTTCTCTCTCCTTGTTTCCCCTAAATACTCTGACCCTTTTTCCTTCAGACAGAGGGGAAAGATGGTGAGGAAGTCGGTGAGAAAGCAAGGCCAAGTAAGTCGGTGGGAAGAAGGGGCATAATTGGCAATTCAGTAATGTTGGGGCAAGGTAGGAAACAACTGGCAGCAAGGGCAAATTTGGCATTTCATTTAATTCAGGGGCGTCTATGTAATAGCACGCAAAAGAACTATTCACAAGCTACAGTGAATTCTTTTGCACTTTTATAATGGTTATAGAATGTACACATAATTGATGGATAACCTGGCCTAGAGGTATTCAACCACAGCCCGACCCGCTAACCCAACTCAATTTGGTCCAAAAAATTGAGCGGGTTTGGAATCCTAAAAACACATCAATTATTAAGTTAAATCTCAAACGTTCCCTGAAAAAACCCCAAAAACACACTTTGACCCAACAAATTTGCTACTTTTTTGCGTGTTGGGCATGAGATATGATGTTAAGGCTCAACTTGGCCCAAATTTCTGATTGCTTCTAGGTAACCCTTTATTCGAATAGAATTTTTGTTGTACTTATCAAATCTGAATTGGAAAAATGGAAACTCCAACCTTTTGGTGGTTAGACATTGAAAACCCAACCTTCCATTAATCTCATAAAAATCCAACTTCTATACCCCACCTTCTTTGACAAATCCATTTAACCTTTAATCTGTTAAACATGTTATTTTTTTAAAAAAATTCTCACTTTCCTTCTCACTCCTCTTCTTTCTCTCTCCTCTCTACACCACCACCAGTCCACCACCTCTGCCACCACTTACCCGCCCTACCCAAACTCGAAACCGAAACCCTCTTCCTCCTCCTCCACTATCTCTCCTCCCAAACCAACACCCAACCACAAGCATCACGTAGTCCTCCCAAACGAAGCGGTCTGGGATAGGGTATGGGGTCGATTTAGGGTCGCCGCGCCGTTGATTGGGGTTTAATAATGGTGGAAGTTAGGGTAGGCAACTGGGTTCGTAGAGGTTAGGGCTTGTGTTTAGGGTCGGTTTAGGGTCGTTGTCGATTGGGGTTTGATAGGGGCTAGGTTTCACACAGGGGAGGGGGAGGGAGGGGAGGTTGCGCGCAGGGGAGGGAAGAGGAGAGGGAGTGGTTGCGCGCAGGGGAGGGAGGGGGAGAGGGAGTGGTGGCAGGGGAAGGTGGTAGTGGTGGCAGGGGAATTGGTGGTTGCTTTAGAGAAGGTGCGGCGACTGGTGGTTGCTTTGGAGCAGGTGCGACGGTGGGCGGTAGGGATGGGGTGGTGGGGATGGGGTGGTCAGGAGGTGGGGTTGGCTATTCTGATTTTTTTTTTCTTTTAATTTTTTTGGTTTTTTAATGATTAAAAAAATAATTGACCAATCAATGATTGACACGTGGCACATAACTTACAAAAATCGGTCATCAACAGGTAATGGATCTGTCAAATTAAAGAAGGTGAGGTATAAATGTTGGATTTTTATGAGATTAATGGAAGGTTGGATTTTTATTGTCAGATCGTGCAAAGGTTGGATTTTTAGTTTCCATTTTTCCATCTGAATTTAACTAGAATTATCTAAACTTATTTAAAATTATTAATTATGAAATTAGTGAAAATTTGTTGAACATAATGGGAGTTAGCTTAAAATGAAAAAACGAAACGATATTTTGAAAGTAAACTTTGTAAGGATTTCTTTCACATTTGCTACTGATTTGTTTCAATCGAATTCTTATGTACACCAACTGTTCTGCTTTGATATCCCTGTTATCTAGTTCAGGGTTTGTTCCTCTTTCTGCGGGGTGGTTGCTCTGTGATATCCAATCTATTATTTTGAGCCTTTATGTGTGCAAAATTAGGAAGGTCCCTCATCCTTGGCTTACCCCGGTTCATTGGTTGGCCACGACAGTAAGGTGCTGTCAGCTTTTATATTTTTCCTTTTGAATTTTGTTTGTTTCACAGTTCTTCTTGTAAAAAAATAAAAAAAAATAAAAAAAAAGTATCAAAAAGCTTGATTTTTGTCTTGTTTCATTTCTTTTTTAAAATAAATTAATTGGTCAATGATATGTATATAATTTATTACTTTTTTTTTAAAACAAATCAATTCATTAATAAAAAGTCATCCATTATCTACAAATGAAATCTAAATTAATACAAAAAATTGAATCAAATTAGGGTTTCTTTTATCAAAGTTATGATCGTTGAAAAGTAATAAAATCTTGCATAATTCTCGCGATGTGTGCGAGAATTTATTACTTTAATGATTTTAGCTTTTGAATTTGTTTTTTCATATTAATTACTTCTTCCGTCCCATAATATAGTTCATGTTTTCCTTTTTTGAAGATTCAAAATATTGTTCATGTTCTATTTTGGGATACTATGTAAAGACTATTACACCCTCACTTTTTTTTAATTCTATTCATTATATTTCCTAAATTACCCTTGATTTTTGTAAATATTTTTCTACTTTTTTTTTCACTTTTTCTCTCCAACTTTTGTCTACAAATAAGCATTAAATATCTTTTCTTATTTGATACAATACTCCCTCCAATTTTAAATACTTGCTCCACTTTTCATTTCCGGCCATACTTGTTCCATTTTATTATTTGAAAAGCTTTTACAACATTTAACTCATTTCATTCAACTAGTGGACCCAACATAAATAATATTTTATTAATTTCATATTCTCTCTCCTCCAATTCTCTCAACTACTTCCGCTTTTTACAATTTTTTTATTCTTTCATGTACCTACCCCAATACTTTCATATTTTATAACTTTCTTCAATTTCTTCTAAAACTCTGCACATGGAGAAAAGGAGCAAATATTTAAAAACGGAGGGAGCATTAGATTAGAAATTCATGACAAGATTACCCGCAAATTAGTGCAAATTATGTATGTATTTCATTAATATTTTTCTCTTTTAGCTATTTATACATAGCCCTTAAAGCAACCACATTGGTGGAGTAGCTCAAAATTTCTCTCTCCAATTTTAATTCTTCCACATCATATTCCATTAACTTGAGTAACTCATTTACTTTTTTCACAATGGTGAGCTAGCTCACTACAATAAAAATAAAAGGAATATCATTTATTTAAAATAAATACATGATTGTATGATTTTTTTTTTTATTTTTTTTATTTTTTTTTTGGTGTTTAGAGAGCCACAAGGGCGGTGGTAAGGACATGTTCACATTTACTGAATTGAACTAGAAGAAAATTAGGAGCTGAACTGAACTGAAATTAAGTAAATGTGAACAGGCCCTATTAAATAAGAGAAGGAAATTAGGAGCTGAACTGAAGTGAACTGAACTGAACTGAAATTAAGTAAATGTGAACGAACCCTAAGAATCGATCCCAAGATCATCTGAAAATGGGAGGAAAGCTCTAACCACTTGAGCTATCCCTCACTCTCATAGATTGTATGAATATGTTGGGGTTTCACTATTTATTAATTCTTTAATGTATTATAAATCACTTAAATTATTTGTACTACAATTACATTTTACACACAAATAAGCCAAAAAATTATTGTTAAAATCGTGCATCGCACAAGCCTAACCTATTATATATACATTTTAGTTCAATGATATATCAATATTGACTTTCTTCTTATAACCAAATAGATATTTTAAAACTATGTATTGAACCATTCCTTTGGAATAATAATTCCATTTTATTAATTTGGATCTTGCTTGTTAAATTAGCTTTAAAACAAAAATATATCTTGTATATATTTGATAAATTATTACCAAGAACATCTCATTTCGAATGAAAAAGGGTCACTTTTAAACTTGAGGTTACTATTTTTTTTTTTAGAGAAAGGTTACTATAAAGTTACATATAATTTAGTGAGTTTATAAAAATGGAGGAATTAATAATAAATAATTGTATTAATGGTACAATAACATACATGATTTTTTTTTTATTATGACTATATATTTTAGACATTCATCATTTTTTAATTTTATTACAAACTTAATTAAGTAAAATATATTGAAGAGATTTGAAGGTATAAATTGTGAATTATTGTCATATTTAAATATATGGAATTATAATTATATTTATGATAAACAAAGTAATATATACTTAATTGTTTCGAAAAAAAAAAGTAATATACACTTAAAAATAATATTTTATTCAAAGATATAAAAAATTTGTGTATCAAAACTTTCGTGAATAGTACTATCTATGTGTTTAGTGAATATATTGTGTATAATTTACAATAAGCATTATGATATATAATTTTTTTTTTTAAAATTAAGAGCTAGGAAATGGAGTCATCATGGATAAATTAAACATATATATTATATTACATGTAATTGCTAGAGAAAATTGTAAAAAAGGACCTTTAAATGATCGACTTTTTGAAAAATAATCTTTTAAGTGAAAAATGATCTTTTATTAAGTTATATTTTGTTTATATGGGGTACTTGTGTCAGCTTGCGAGGTGGTAAATCTTAGAGCTCCGGCTGTGTTCACTATCACATATTAATCACATGACTTATTTTCAAAAAAAAAAAAAAAACAAACCCCTTTCCCGACCTCCGTGAGAATATTACATGAAAGGGTTCGGTCGAGAAATGATGGAAATTTGGGAATTTTTTTGATTTTAATACTAATTCATGATAGTCAACCCCGAATCTCCCACCATGCAAGCTCACCCAATTCAAGTACCCATTCAAACAAAATACAACTTAAAAGATCCTTTTTTTCCACAAATTTTCACTTAAAAGGTCATTTTTCAAAAAGTCGACCACTTAAAAGGTCCTTTTTCACAATTTTCTCTAATTGCTATTTGCTAATTTCATGTATTTTAAGGCCAAAATATAATTGCCAATAGTTCAATAATATATAATGAATCGGGCATTGTTTTGTTGTAATTTAATATTAATTGGTTCACTAAATTTTGTAATCTGCAACTCACATGATTCACATCAATGTAATACCAATATAATATCCAATATATAACCAAAATTGCATTGAACTAACAAATAAATAAAACTTCAAAGATAAAAAGATTATCATTTATTTAAAAGTCTATATATATCATCACATAATTAGT